TTTCATGTAACACATAAGAAAACTTAGCCTGAGGTTAGCAAATCGCTTTAAATTTGCAACCAGAAAACACTGAGCCAAGACTCAAGCCTAAAGAAAACTCCCAAGCATGACTCACTCCGAAGCTCAACTCTAACAACCACTCTGCTCTAAAGAGAGAGCACATGTAAAATACGTTGTAAATGTAAATGTACAATTCAAATATCAGGACTATTATTTGGGTGAGCATAACATAAACCTCAGCAAAAAAAGGGAATGTAAAGATAGGAGAGGAGAGCAAACAGCAAGTAAGGATGCACTTTGTCGTTCTAAATGCATTCAATACTTTTGGGTTGTAAAAATCACATTCTAAAGAATGGGATAAATCTGTATATAAGACTATATGTGATATTTGTGACATTGTGGAGAAGGAACAAGGAACCAGCAAACCGAAGAAAAGCGACCGCTTCAATTGTAAAGGAGCAAAGAAAGAGGAGGCTTCAAACTGAATAATAGCAGCTAACATTTACTGAATACTTCCTCTATGCCTGGGATGGTTCCAACAATTATGTGATGTAGAATTATTATTCTCTGCATTTTATAGATGAAACACTGAACTCATGGGGTTTCTAAAAGGATTAATTAAGTGCTTAAGAAAGAAAGGTGTTTAAAACAACTCCTGGCACACAGTAGAACCCTCCACAAATGTAGGTTACTATTGTTACACAGAAACCAAAGTAATCCTCCATATGCCTGGAGTATGCCATCTTTATTACTGACTTAACTCACAATTTATACCTGTCATTTGTTTTTCTAATTATTTTTATTAGCATTATTGTATTTAAAGAGAGTGCAATATTAGATTAAATTGCAGGTAACAAAACAGCCAAGTACATTAAACGATTGATGTGAGAGTCTATTAATTTGGTTAGTCATTGAAGAAGGATTAGTGCCACTAGTATTAAGACATGAGGGAGATTAACACCAATCTTTCTGACTCACCAGTGTCAATGACACCTGAATTCAGCCTCTTCAGCAGTCTGGGGTCTGAGAGCTGAATTCCTCAGCTGAGCTTAAAATGCTGATCTGTTATTTACTGAGCTTTTTTTTCTTTCCCTCTTCTCTTTGTATTTCTGGTTTTTGTCTGTGAGTAGTCATAAAAGTTTCATATAATGACAGGTAAGGGACTGGGAAAAGATGCAGGCACTGGAAATCTAACACTCGAAGATGTATTTTTCCTGCAGCATACTCCAGACAAAGCATATTTCTGGGCATTAAAATAATAACAGTGAAAAACCCTAGTCTTTCCTAATGCTAAATTCTTTTAGCACAGGAGTCATTTTACCCCATAAAGCATTCCTTTTTTCTTTCACATAAAACTAGATATAAGTTTGGTTCTTCGACAAACTTGAATCTTTGGAATGTCTGAATAGTTTGGGAATAAGCAATTGTGAAAATTCTGAAGTGTGATGGCACTTCCTTTTTCCCTTCCTTTCATCCTTCCTTCTTTCCTTCAGGGAGGAATTTAGGTTTTAGTAATTGTGGGTCTTATTGCTGCACAATTCCCACTAGATGGCTGTAGCAAATTTCTGGAGATTTATTCTACTTGGAGCAGCAAATCATGCCAGATTCATGAGCCCTTAGCATATTAGGTTTCCCTGGGATGTTTATCAAAGAATGCTGACATTTAGGCATATATGTAAAATTACTGAATTTTTTAAATTTTTCTATCAGTAAAGATATTAACTCTGAATTCCATTCCTTTCCCTTCCTCTAATTTGGTATCATGCTCATCTTCACTCTGAATGTATTTATTTACTGGTATAAGCAAGAAATGCCTCATAAAGCAAACTGTACAACTGAGCCCCTACTATGTGGAAATTGTGTGTGTGTGTGTGTGTGTGTGTGTGCACACATTTGTATGTTTCAGGAAAAGGTGTTGGAGTTTGTCAAATGCTGTTTCTGTATCCGTTATGATGGTCATGTGCTTTTTCTTTTTTAGTCTACAATACAATATATTAATTGATTTTTACAGATTTAACTAGTGATATGGTTTGGCTCTGTGTTCCCACCCAAATCTCATCTTGAATTGAAATTCCCATAATCCCCACATGTGTTGAGGGAGGGATGAGGTGATTGGATCATGGGGATGGTTCCCCCATGCTGTTCTCCTGAGAGTGAGTTAGTTTTTGCAAGATCTGATGGTTCTATAAGCATCTGACATTTCCCCTGCTTGCACTTCTCTCTCCTGCACCATGTGAAAAAGGCCTTTGCTTCCTCTTTGCCTTCCCCCATGATTATAAGTTCCCTAAGGCCTCCTTAGTCATGTGGAACTGTGAATCAAACCTCTTTCCTTTATAATTTACTCAGACGGAGGTAGTATCTTTATAGCAGTGTGAGAATGGACTAATACAATCAGCTTGTATTCCTGAGATAAATCCCACTTGGTCATATTGTATCATCTCTTTATGTGGATTTGATTTCCTAGTAATTGTTAAGGATTCTAGTTTTTTATTTCTAAGAACTACTGGTCTTTAGTTTTCTTGTGATATTTGTCTGGTTTTGCTATTAGGATAATACTAGCTTCATAGAACAAGTTAGAACATTGCCCTGTCCTATTTCCTGGAGGAGTTTGTGAAAGATTGATGTTAATTCTTTTTTAAAGGTTTGGTAGAACTGATCTGTGAAGCCATCTAGGCCTGGGATTTCCTTTGTGGGAATTTTTAAAATGATTAATTCAATGTCTTGTTGTATGTTTCTTCACATTTTCTTACTCTTTTTAAGTCAGTTTTGATAATTTGTGTCTTTCTGGAATTTGCCTGTTTCACTTAGATTATCTAATTTGGTGGCATACAATTATTAATTTCATTCATATTTTTTCTTTAGCCAATCCAGCTGTTTCTATATCATTTATATTTTATTCCATGCAGACATTGATTTATTGGGGCAACATTATTTTAAGCAGAGAGTATTTAAAATTACAATATGAAGGTGACCATCTTTTTGGTTGCAAAGTTATTCACTTGTTTGTTCATTCAACAAACATATTGAATGTCTTGTATATGCCAGGCACAGCTCCAGGATATGGGAATATGGGGTGAGCAAGAGACAATACCTCACCCTATAGAGCCTATATTCTCATAAGAAAGGTAGACAAGAAGTAAAAAATGTAATATACTACATCATATATCAGGAAGAGTTTAATTATTGAGCACTGTTTAACAGATGGCAGCATATCAATCTGCTGGAAATCATATTGCAATCATAATAAGTTAATAAATGAACATAACATAGGTGGGATACCTATCAGATTAAACAGATTCTAACTTGCGGAAGTGGAAAGGGAGGCAAGGCATTAGATACTGATCTAATTTAGTAGGTTTTAACATTGGCTGCTTATTACGAGCATCAGGAGAGATTTTACTATATCCAATTCCTGAATTCCTCTTAGAAGTTTTTATTTAATTGGGTCTACGTGAAGCCCAGGCAAAAATTTGTTTTGACAGCCTACAGAATGGAAGAAAATATTTGCCAACTATGCATCCAATGAAGGTCTAACATTCAAAATCTATAAGGAACTTAAATCAACAGGCAAAAAACAAACAACCCCATTAAAAGGGGCAAAGGACATGAACAGACACTTTTCAAAAGTAGGCATACACATGGCTAACAAACACATGAAAAAATGCTCAATATCACTAATCATTACAGAATGGCAAATAAAAACCATAATGAGATAGCATCTCACACAAGTCAGAATGATATTATTAAAAAGTCAAAAAATAAAAGATGCTGGTGAGGTTGTGGAGAAAAGGGAATGCTTAAAAAGAATGCTTATACACTACTGGTGGGAATGTAAATTAGTTCAGCCATTGTGGAAAGCAGTTTGGTGATTTCCCACAGAACTCAAAACAGAATTATCATTTTACCCAGCAGTGCCTTTGTTAAGTATATACCCAAAGGAATATAAATCATTCTGCCATAAAGACACACACACACATATGTTCATTGCGGCACTATTCGCAATGGCAAAGACATGAAATAAACCTAAATGCCCATCGACAGTAGTAGTTAAAGAAAATATGGTACATATATACCATGGAATACTATACAGTCATAAAAAAGTGAGATCATGTCCTTTGCAGCAATGTGGATGGAGCTGAAGACCATTATCCTAAGCGAACTAACACAGGAACAGAAAACCAAATGCCACATGTTCTCTTTTACAAGTACACATGGACACAAAGAAGGACACAACAGACACCATGATCTACTTCAGGTTGGAGGGAAGGAACAGGGTGAGGACCAAAAAACTACCTATTGAGTACTATGTTTATTACCTGGATGGTAAAATTATTTGAACACAAATCTGCCATGATGCATAATTTACCTACATAACACACCTGCACATGTACCCCTGAACTTAAAATAAAAGAAACAATTTGTTTTAAGAATTTCTTTGTGATTCAAATGTCAAGCCAGTGTTGAGTATCAAGTACCTACTATGTCCCAAACAATATGAGGTGTTTTATATGTTATTTTATTGTTCTAGTATTAGCACAAGTTGCACTTTATTTTTCTTACAGGCATTTGAAAAAAAAAACTCAAGATCAGAGAGAATAAATGATTAGCAGGTTACACCACATCTGTTTCACCCTTGGCTCTTTAAATGGAGGCACCTTATTTGTGTGTTCCATTAAAGGGAGCTTAAAAATCCAGGAGTAAGCTTCCTTCTCTTATGTCCTTCCCTGAGTGCCCTTCTTCTGCCCATTTACTGGCTTTATGTTTTTAAACCTTATTATTCTTTCTGTGTCTCTATCTCCCATATTTTATTCTTAAACTCAACACTTTGGCTTCATATTCCTCAGTCACTTCTACCTAATTTGAGGACTTATTTGGATCCCTTTTTCTGGTTTACTGACCTCAGCATGATCTACTCAACTCTTGACATTGTATCTTCCTAACTTTTAATGTAGCAGATAAAAATTATAAGCATAAGATGATGGTGTAAATAATTTTTTTTTTTGCTAATGTGCATTTAATCACCAAAGGACTGAAGATGTCTGGGCTTTTTTATTCTGTAATGTTTCTAAGACTGTGTCCATTAAATGCAAACGAAAAGGAAGAAGTCTTGGCAGAACAGGAGAAGTGATGCACACTTGATGATCTGATCAGTTTAAATATTATTCATGGCATATAGCCTAGTCCATGCTCTAGCTGTTTCTATGGCTTGGGCTTCGTTGGTCTTCCACTGCTCTGCTACATCATTTGCTAATGGATCATCTGGATTAGGAGCACTTAACAAGGCCTGGATGGATAGCAGAACTGTGCGGATCTGCAGTGCTGGGGACCACTTATCTTTCAAAATATCTAAACATATTCTTCCCAACTTGTCTACATTAGGATGATAAATTTTGGTCATGAAACGTACTTTAGGGGCTGCCATTGGGTATTCTTCTGGAAGGAATAGTTCAAGTTTAAAAGTCCCTCCCTCAAAGGGGGAATCCTGAGGGCCAGCAATGACCACATGAAAATAACGGGCGTTGCTCTCATCTGGTTCTGCTTTGATGCCAGGAACTGGTTCTGCCAGCAAACGCTGGGTTTCCTTGATGATCCTGCGGGGCAGCCCCGCCATCTTGTCAGAACCCGAGTTCGGCCTCTGGTCTCATCTCCGGCTCTGCTCGCCTCACGCACGAGTCGGTGTAAATAATTTTACACAGTATAGTTAGATTTTATATTTTTGCCTGAATTCCCACACCACCAAAAGAAACTTACGGCAGCTACGCCTTGAAATTCGAAAGTGCTTTTGTGTATTTTGTAATAACAAAGGATCTTTTTGTGTGTCTCTTGTACCTTACTAACAGCTATGCTAGTGGTCTATACCAAAGGTTAACAGAAATAAAGGTAAGGGATCAGTTGGCCATTTGGTTCTTCAATAAACTTATATCAGTAGAGGACAAACTCATCAATGATGAAATTCTCATATGCATTTTATTTTTAAAATTAAGGTGTATCCAAAAAGATATTGTTTAGTCAATTAAGATAATTCATGGAGTGGGGGGTACAAATTAAGTCAAAGTAGTTGTTTATGTAATGGTTCTTTTGGTGGTACTTAATCCAAACATAAAAGCTTTGTAAGGCAGTTTGTCAGTGGTCTAAATTTAATTCAGTTCAAATAATGGCTATATAGATAGTCTGAAGGAATGGAAATCTATCTGCTTGATAGACTGTGTGTCCTGTACAGCACTCAGTACAAGCTGTTTGGGTTTCTTAGATTGTGTCATATGATCTAGAATTCAGAGCTCACCTCAGGACCTTGGACAGCACCTGATTAAACTCATGTTAGAACATACAAATGACTTCAATCTTGAAAATATACTAAATTCTTTATGGATACAATCTCATTATCCATCACAACGATGCTGTGAAGTACATAATATGTTTTTAATTATTTTTAATTGTTTTACCTAATACTGATGCTCACAAACATGATACTATTTTATTCTCTTTATAGACAAGGAAACTGAACCTCGGAGACATAAAGTTACATAGCTAGCTAGCTAGCAGGTAGCTAAAATGGAATTTGAACCCCGGAAACTTGATTTCAAATCAATATGTTTAGCCACTGTATTCTTCTGCTTCCCTAAGAAAACAGATTATATATGTAAAAAGTCCTTGCTTTGTCTATTACATGTGGCTAACCTCACCTCCCTCAATCACCTCACCTTCTCATTAATAAAGAGATTTGCATATGTAATTTATTAAAAATCAAATTTATGTTTATAAATCTATTAATTGGTTAACTTAAGAGAATTCACTGAGGGAAAAACCAAGTCAAAACAGCCATCTTCTACTTAAACCCCTTCTTCTTAAATAGGAACACATCCTGTACCCATTCTCAGAGGTAGCAGCATTTTCATTGACTTCCTAAGAAGACATATTATGTTAGGACCTGTGGTGAACTAGGGTAGCCTTGAAAGCAGTGGGCATAGCTCAAACACATTAGTAGCTTCTAGACCTACAGATAACTTATATGAATTTAATGGTACCCTAACCTTTCAACTGCCACAATATGTAATTCACATTCAAAATGCTTTATTTAATTACCTACAACATGTGTAAAATGGAGTAAAAGTTTAAACTATATGTTTCTGTTTTCTGAATATATATATATAGTCATCCCTTGGTATCTAGGGAGGATTGGTTCCAGGAACCTATTTCCCCCTTCCCCCATGAATACCCAAATCTGTAGATGCTCACATCCCTTATATAAAATGTCATGGTACTTGCATATAACCTACATATATCCTCCTATATACTTTAAATTCTCCAGATTACTTATAACACCTAATATAATACCTACATATCACTTTAGTTGCATGGGTTCAATGCAGTACTCAGCAAGCAACAAATCCTAGCTTTGTTTTTTAGAATTTTGTGGAATGTTTTTTCGGATACATTCAATCTAAACTTGGTTGAATTCAGGAGTGCAGAATCCACAGATATGGAGGGTTAACTATAGAAAAACACTTTAGTTGTTTTGTTCTCTTTGGGTTTCTTAGAAAATAAAATGGAAGCAGCTAGAGTATTTCTAAAATAATCCAAATACTAAATAAAGTTATGGTCTTGCTGAAGGTCTGCTCATCTATCATTGCTTTTTTCTTTTAACAAACTCAAGGTCTTTTATAACAACAGAGAAGTGAGACTTCCCTAAAAATATTGGGAATCAACACTCAGTACAAATCCTACTTTCTGGTACTATTAGTAAGAAAATGAATACAACCTCTAGCATGAAACCTTAGGACTAAAACAAATGGGACACTCTGATGACAGGCCACTTCTTGATGTTCCTGTGCTGAGAAGCTTACATCTATCCTAAAGCAATTCAATACTGTGTATTGTGGTTCTAGTGCCATGTAATACACAATTGCCATAATAGGGTCACTTGGTTCTCCAGCTGCACTATAAGAAACACATCTGATGAGCTTATGGGAAAATGTTCACAAGCACCATCATTCATTGTCTCAAGAGTTATGATTCACATATAAGATCAACAGTCTGGTGCACACTGATTATTTTACTGCTGAGCTATACCATCTGTCTCAACCCAGAATTATTAAAGATTTCTTATATAATGGTGGCAGATTTTTTTTTTGAGACAGAGTCTTGCTCTGTCACGAGGCTGGAGTGCAGCAGCGTGATCTTGGCTCACTGGAACCTCTGCCTCCTGGTTCAAGCGATTCTCCTGCCTCAGACTCCCATGTAGCTAGCAGAAACTACAGGCACCTGCCACTATGCCCGGCTAATTTTTGTCTTTTTAGTAGAGACAGGGTTTTACCATGTTGGCCAGGATGGTCTCCATCTCTTGACCTCAGGATCCACTCCCTCAGACCCCGAAAGTGCTGGGATTACAGGCATGAGCCACGGCGCCCAGCCGCAGGATCATGTTTTAAGAAGCATTATCAATGGCTTTCCAGCCTGTTTTGACGAAAGCAAAATTGATAGTGCTAGCCAGTCACTATCAGCAATTAAAGAACTCATTACAAATAAACATCCAATCCACGAAAATAAGCTTTTACTAACAGTTATAGCAAAGAGCAAAAATGGTATACTCCACAACATCTGAATATTAAATTAGACACACCAATACCTACTCTGTTTATAGACTTAAGAATGTAAGAAGTGGATTTTGAATGGATTAGGGCCACCTGACTAAAGTAAACACTATTCAAAGTGTGGCCTGAGAGCTGTGCTTAACTACAATGACAGACTGTGCTTACCAATACACATGTGCCCTTCCTATGGCAGTGCCTTTAAAACTTAAGCTGAGTACAGCATTTTTTGGTTACTTATTTCCTAAATATCAGCCTATACCTTTATTATGTATTTCCCATTTCCCCTTTCAGTTAGATTAGAGCCATATAACTAGATTCGACATGGTCTCTTATGCATCTCTTCCAGGATGAGGCAAGTAGGAGCTGGTACATTTTCTCCATCACTCTCTTCCCCAGTGTGGGCAACCTTGGAGAGCATGTGTTCCAAATGTCATAGAAGATGGAGGTCTGCCTGGCCACTATTGGGCTGTGATGGGAGTGAGAAATAAACTTTTATTGTGTTAAGCCCTTGAGATTTCAGGGTTGTCTGTTGAATTAATTACTCTGAAGAATGCAGCCACAAATATCAGATGGTGTTGAGATTTCTCACAACTAAGGACAAATCTCATTTTCACTATCAAATTGGACTTAAGTCAGGAAAGAAGTTTTTCTCTTATCAAAGGAGAAAAAGAGTTATTTAACTCACACTGTGACATTGCTTTTAAAAGTGATATTGGTCACAAGTTTCCTTGGGTGCTTTTTCCTAAGATCCTTAATTATGTTGATGGATGTATAGATAAAGTTTTCTGCTCAGTTATTGTTATTTTGGTCTTAATAGTAGGTTAAAAGAACAACATTTAATTCCAATACCCCAGGCTATTACTTGTTCTAACGAATCCCCACACTGTGGCAAGCCACCCCTCCTTCAACAGCTTCACTGTGAAATACTTTCTTGATCCATTTTTCAGGTGGAGTGCATTATATTAACTGCCTGGCCTCAAATGCGGTGTGGAAGGATCATGAGAGAAGGGCAGAGGAACTCAAGCTTTGAACAAGCTTCTATGGGAAAATCTCATTGCTATTCCAGAAGGCATCTGTCACATTATCTTAGCCACAATAGGTGAATCACAATGAAGAAATCATTTGTAAGAGGTCCTTGTCCATAACCTACATTTGGTCACATTTGGTGACCCAGAATTGATTACAGTATTGTAGAGACTGTAAAAGACTGTGGGGTATATAAGAATACACCCTGTAATTCATTAAAAGAAATCATCTTCAGTGAGACATGACAAAAAAGTTTTGGTCAGAAATGTATATCAACTTTCTATAGCAACTCCAGGTGAGAAATCTCTATTTTAAAATATGTCTCAAAATATTTTTTCATTATTAACTGAATTTCTGTGTGTCTTCCTTTTTCTCCTAATGGCAGGCTTACTGCTGCATTAGAGACTACAAAAGGAGATTCCTGCCTCTATAGGTATGGCGGACACGGCAATGAATAGGGAATCAGTAGGCTCTAGGGGAATTGCAAGGTACTATTTCTCCCTCCAAAGGTACTGGTCCTTGTAGAGGGACATCCATTAGCACAACACTCCTGGACTCTCTCATATCATCATCATCCCCAGGAAAAGACTCTTTCATCTGGTGTGTGATGTTAGGAGCAGGGATTTTGACCACACAGCCTAGTCCTTCCTGCTATTTTTTCTCTTTGAGATTTGTCTGGTTGCATGTGCTTTGGTCTGCTCTCAGCCTCAAGGGAAGTTTAGTGGTAAAAGTTCTTCACCTGCAGGGGGAAGCCACAGTTTTCCCTTGCTACCCATTTTGGTGAATAGTTAAGCTGGTCAAATTCTGGTATTCAGCATCAGGAAATTATCTCTTTTCACAAACCTTAGTTACTCCCTAAAATTTAACGTTAATCAGCAATAATTGCTGATACTTTTATTTTCATTTGCTTGACTCTTTTATCTCCCAGTTCAGAATGTGGTATTGGTTGAAGGATGGACCAACCCAGGCTAGAAATCCATCATCCTAACGACAGGAAATTTTCTAGAGGAGAGTTTGAAAAGCCCCAAATTGGAAGTATTCAAATTCTCTGC